CACTCACCCAGGTCTAATGTCTCCCAATTGTGGCAATCACCACTGGTCTTACCCATTTTTACTAAGGCCCCCACACTTAGCTTTTCCCTGTTGCACTGTCTCACACACACATACTTCAACCCCAACGGACTCTTCAGAGTGACTGACTTTAGAGCGTGCCAGGACTCAGGAGACTTACCTTGTTAAACAGTCCTGAAATCAACAAGGACAAAACAAAAGTGTGTGGTGTTTGGGCAGTAAAAGCATGGTACTCAGGCTCAGCTGGGACATCCCAGAGCAGACTGGAAAAATGCTCCCTGTTCCCTTGGGTCTGTACTGAGGTGTCATGTCAAGTTGGAATAGGATGAATAGGAGCAGACAGATACTTTACACTGATGGCCTCACACACTGTAACCTGATGCAGAGTTTAAGGCAAATCAGACTTTGCTATTGAGATTACTTTTTAATTCATAGATGTATTTGTTTTATTTAGTGTGTCATTTTGTCACTCTAAGTAAATAATAGAGTTAATATTTGTACATCCATTTTTTCCATATTATATATACTGTTATAAAAGTTGTTAGCGCTTGCACAGAATTTTCACAAAAAAGTTTCATTAATTAGGTTTTATTGATGGGCATTTTGTAGTTTTTAGATTTCATATACATAACATTCAAATACAAAATTTAATATATACATATACATAGTTCTCCCATTGAAATGTCAAGTAAAACTTAAAAAAAAAAAAAAAGTATTTTCATCTAGTATAATTCTTAAAACCTGTGCAAATTGCTCTTAGTGTGAGGGTCTGTCATCTGTGCCAAGCAAATTCCCTGTTATGTTTTTTTTCTCTCGCTCTTTATTCTATCTACCTTTCTTTTTAAAATCATGAATAATTTGTATCCTCACCCTACTGCCTGATGACAGCTGTGCAGTTGTCTTGCAGTCTATTTTTCAGATCAAGTAAATAATGAATAAAGCGCCACAACAAAAGAACACAGTATCTGAGCCCTGTCTCGCTGAGACCTTCCACTGCTATCCCATCACAGGGGTGCAGAAGCCCTGCATTTCTTCTGTCACTCCTTTTCATCTGGCTGAGTGAGGGACTGCGGAGTAATTCATCTTTGATAAAACCAAAATATGTTTCACAGGTGATCCATACAGTACTTACCTATTTATGCTTAATTGCTAACATGATACTTCTGCTTTAAAAAAAATTTTGAAATTATTTTTATACAACACACACCATAACCCAGTGGTTCCCAACCCTGGTCCTGGAGGCACCCCAACTTTCTCTTTCCTTTGAGAAAGGCTGGGGAGGCACCCAATTTCAGGTCTTGGCGTCTCTACTAATGAACTGATGACCTGAATCAGGTGTGTTTGATTAAGGAGACATGCAAAACGTGCAGTGTTGGGGTGCCTCCAGGACCAGGGCTGGGAACCACTGCCATGACCAATCCACCCATCTTTTCTATTTAAAGTGTCTGTGGTTTTCAGGCTGTTTTCACAAATATGTTTAACACAGTATTCAAGTCGTGGTTGGCAGTTTGGAGGATTCCTAGGATATAGTCCTTAATATTCTCTGGTCTTGTCACTTGGGAAATGTTGTTTGTCTATCATTAAACATGTTTTAAGAACATAGGCCCACTTTGGATTATTTTATCCTTTTGTTTTGGTCATGCACTTGTTCTTTTTTTATTTATTATTACTTTTTTGATGTATATATTTTTTTCTCTCTTAATTGTTACTCTGTCAATGAAATGTAATTGAAAGTTTTTTTTAAATGAATGCATATTTTTTTATATTTATATTAGTGTGTCATGTACATAAATTCAACCAGATGGTAATAAAACTGCACCATGATGCACGTACATCAAGTGTTGTATTTGCTCAAAAATTCTAGTTTATCCAAAACAAAAGTTGTTGTTTTTTTACCCTCGAGTCATTCTAAACCTCCTTGTCTTTCTTTCTTCTGTGGAACATAAAGATGAAAAATTAAAATTTTTTAAATGAAAAATCTAAAATGAAAGTCAGTGGCACTGGCAACCAAAACAGTTTGGTTCATCAAAAGATCTTCTTTTGTATTCTGCAAAAGAAAGGCATACATGTTTGGAACAACATGAGGGTGAGTAAACAATGACAGAATAATTATTTTTTGGGATGAATTGTCGCTTTAAGTTATTGAATTGTCCTGAAGGCTGATTCTTAAATTAAATACTGGGTCTCTCATCTAAAGCCTGAGCGAAACTTAAGTTATCCTCCATATTTTATTTGTAACAGACATTAATTTTAGATAACCCTAAGCATGAAATAGCCATGTATTTACTTCAATACACCACCGTGTGAATATTTCCATAACTCTTTATACCTTTGTTTTAAATGATCAGACAGATTATTGCAACCTTTATGTTTTGTTTTGTTAGTGTAGGTATGTGTGTGTTTGTAAGCCAAAGACTGAAGTGTTCTGATTACTCGCCCACTGAAATTGATTGGGCTCTTTCCAGGACTTCTTCTATTCATATTTGATATGCCTAGAGGCTGTGGGGCAACGGTCTTAAAACCCTCACTGAAATCTGGCCTGGCCTAATGGTCCACTTGAAGCTTGCACTTTCCCTCTGAGTGAACTGCAGAGGATTGAAACATCTGTGGTGGATACTGACCTATGTTAAGGCAGTGCAATCCCTGCAGCACCCTGGACCACATCAACTATACTGTCTATTCTTACACACACCACTCTAATGTTCTCTAACAGGGAAATAACTAATGCAGCATTTTAAATGATGGATATGACTACAACGAATCTGTCAATCATGAATGTTATCAGCTGCTGATAAAGTCAAAAAAGGAGGAGCAGATTACATACCAAATATTGTCCTAATTCCTCGGGCATGTTCGATTGACCAAACAGCAGCAGGACATGTAAATCCCACAGCTGTGCTCTTATCTCTGTTTTCTCTGGAATAAATATGCATTTTCATGTTCCCTGCAGTCAAATCTTCAGGGTTTTAAAATATTAAGCATTTTCACGGGCATAAATGGAGTAAGATTTGAGCCATGAAAAGTCAGTGATTTCAATCAATGTTGTAAGTGGTGCTTAGTGTTCTTTGATTATGTCTTCCTATACAAAAACGTGTGCGTCCAACAAATAATTGAATTTCGAAAAAATGTTGAGAGTACTTTTTTGAAAAAAAAAATTTGTCTTTCTTTTTTTTCGGCGTATATGGGCGGTTGCGTTTTTGCAAACAGATTTTAGACCGTACATTATTTACCTTCACTGTGCCAGATACCTAGAAAAGACGTTATATCCCGGGGCCATTTTAGGCTGCAGGAAGCAGAATGCACTGACCCGCGCTACACAGCTATGTTTCTGCTGAATAAACCCTTTATTTACACTCGGTCTCAACAGGAGAAATCCAAGAGTGTTTAGAGTAAATAAAAGGGGATCATTATTTTCATGGTCAGATAAGGCAGAAAAACAAATAGATGTTCGATTTGACGACATCTGAAAACAGGTAGCCTTAAATTTCGATTAAAAAATGTAAGGTTTTGGCCAGATTTATCCTGTTTTTTATGACTAATTTATCTGTGCTACTAATTCATAATTTCTGCAGTTAATTCTGATTTAAAGTATAAAATAAAGCGTATAAATTGTAAGCTAGTGTTCAATAAATGTGACATTCATTTCTCGGGCTGTGCAATAAATCGTTGGAAAAGTTGACAATCAGTTGACAACCAAATGTTCAATTGTTTGAATGTAAATATTCAAAATATTACTTCGAGCTTCAGAAAAGGAAAGAAAAACAATACGAGCATAAATTATTCTTGGTTTTCAATTGATCTGTTTTGTGACTTCAGTGAATTAGTAGGCTGAAATGTTATTGTATTTAAAGACATAAGACACAGTTGATCAATCATCTTTATTTTTCCACATTTTTCTCTTCCCTTTCCTTTTTAATATAAAATAATTCTCGACTTTCCATTAACCTATTTAGAAAATAACGCACTGATTGGGAAACACATTTGGAATTTCCCACAGTTGTTTCGAATAAATCATTTTATTTTAAGCATGTAATGAAATACTGAATTATTTACAATCATGAAATGAAAGAGCCTATGCTTAGCTCAAGCTAGCCTGCGTTATTCGTTGCGCAATATACGTAGCTAGAGATGTTATAAATCTGTATGAAACAATAGGCTATACAAACTTTGATAAATACACACACACACAAAAATAAAAAAATACACACGAAATTCTTAATTCCAATAAATAGTGTAAATGATATAAAACAAATGTAATTGAATTGATCGCTTTAATTGATTTGAAAAGGTATAGACAGTTACGTTCTTATATTTGCTTATTTACGCTAAAGAAAACGAACCTAATAGAAAGGACAAAATGATGAATGGAAAGACTTCGACAAGTTGCCAAATCATTTAAGTTGGGCTATAGTAGCCTACACAAACTATGCTTTTATTGATGAAATCTCGCAGTCTATTGTAGTGCTTGTTTTGCCAGCATTCACTTTGCAGCGTTGACAACAAAGTGACATTCTTTTGAGATGCGCTGATTTTTCCTTCAGCTGATATTTTGGGTGATACAGTGTCCTTTCTCGCGGCGGTTATATTTCGTCCCTGATTATTTTGGTGATAATATTTTGGGTTCAGACGCGATGCCTGGCATGTCTCTGCAGCGGGCTATTGATTTGGATCAGGATACCCTGTGTTACCCTGTGATACCCTGTGATACCCTGTGTTACCCTGTGATACCCTGTGATACCCTGTGTTACCCTGTGATACCCTGTGATACCCTGTGATACCCATGAAAGCTGCCAGACCTGCCGTAGGCAAATCTCACAAAGCATAAACCGCTCTACAACTAATGTAAACGCTATTAGTCGTCTACTCTAAAACACTGATTTAATGTTTTATGAACGAGCATTCGTAGCTTGTTAAATTAAAAAGACTATTAAAGTCCCGATGGGTTGTCCAATAGTGTTGGGTAAAAGTCCTGAAGTGTTTCCTCACTTCAGTCCGTGTTGTGTCTCCTTGTGTCTTCTTAAATCGACCTTGCGCTGGAAACCTTTGCCGCAGCGGTCACATCCAAACGGCTTGAATCCGGTGTGTTTTCGGCTGTGTGTTATCAGATTGGAGCTCTGACTGAAAGCTTTCCCACACACCTGACATTTGTGTGGCTTCTCCCCTGGGAGAGAAAATCCATACGTCAGCGTTTCTATCCAAAGTTCTATTTCTATAGATAAAGTTCTTTCCATGTATTGAGCTTACCTGTGTGGATGAATGTGTGTTTCTTCATATCTGATTTCTGGTGAAACCTCTTTCCGCAGTACTGGCACGGGTAGGGCCGTGTATCGGAGTGGATGAGGAGGTGAGTGGACAAAGTGGATGATCTTTTAAAACTTTTCCCACAGATTTTACAATCAAAGCTTCTCTGCTGTGGGATAAAAGGCGTGTTTAAAAAAAAAATCGTTTTTGCATTCAATCGATTTAATGATTTTTATTATAATAGCAAATAAGAACAAAACTCGAGTACTGTACCTGTGAGTGAACAGCTCTGTGTTGTTCCAGACTGACTGCGTGTCCAAACGTTTTCCCGCAGATGTCGCAAGCAAAAGGTCTTGTGCCACTATGCGACCTCCGGACGTGAACTTCCAAGCCATGTGGAGTAGAAAACACCTGTGGAACGGAGAGGGCCATCTTTAATAGCCTAATGTCTAATCGTGATTTATTAAAAATCCGATCGAGCCATTTGCGCTACATTACCTTGCTGCATTTGATACATTTGTATGCGCCATTCAGCAGGAGACGACTACACATCCCATCAGAGCTGGATTTCATCTCAGTTCCTTTTCGCAGTGTGTTGCTGTCATCATAAAGTCCAGAGGCTGTGGCGCGCTCGAATAGGGTGGCAGTGGAACTATAACTGTTGTAAATGCTTGCGCCAGATCCTCCTCTTTCAGTGAAAACTGAGGACTCGACCACGCGGTCATTGTAACAGGCTGGAGGAGCAGGCCGCTCGAGATCCAGAGAGTGGTGATGGTTGAGAGTATGCTGGACCAGCTGTCTGATTTCACATCCCGAGTACCTGCTCCACGCGTAAGGCCTGAAGGGGACGGCGAAGGGCCGTGTTTCCTCAGCGGAGGGTGAAAAGGACTTTTCTGACGCTGTTAAAGAGACCAAATCGATCATTTAATGAGTTCCGCGTATTACATCAATCTGTTTGGGATTTTACAGTGACTTGCATAGCTGTGTAGCCAAGGGTCAAATTGTTTTAACCAATTTATACTTACTAGGCTAAATGTTACGTAGGTACAATTTGTGCCAATAATCTGCTGAGGTTAATTTCGCAAATATCTTAAATAGCTTTCAAACAAAACACAAAAGATTTACAATTAATATTTGATCAAAATGAACGAAGCGTGCCCAAACAGCCAAGCTATTATGGTCGCTACCTCATGCACATTTTCACCGACGTGTACAATGTTTTGGTAGAACACAAAACGTTTCAAAACAGGTTGAGAAGTATATTCATATGTAAAGATATCTTAAATACGTTCATAAATATATCCATACCAGGTGATGCTGATGGTGATGGAGGTCGCCAGAAGTCTTCGTAATCTGAGGAGCGGTCGCACACGCTTCCCCCACAGCTGAGAGGAGACTTGGAGGAAAGATCCGCTCGATCCACCAGGTGAGAGTCCGGTGAGCAAGCGCCAGCCGTGTCGCCTGTCAGGGCATCCGTGCAGCACTCGGACTCCTCTGAAGTTTTGCTTTCTGTTATGAGATTTCATTTTTTTTTTTTTGTCAAAACCACAGCTGTATAAAATATTTATCTCACAACTGTTCACGAACATCTAATGTACTACGAATGGCTCATTGTGCCAACTAAAATCTAGAATCTAGACTTCCCCCCCACACAAATGTAAAAACTCGTACGCCCGCTATTTCTTTGACAAGCAAGTCTGTCTTTCATCTATTAGGAATCTCAAAAAGAATAGTTTTAAAAAGGAAAAATGTCATAATAAAAGAGTTAGGGTTATGGTTGAAAAAGAGCTAGACAGCGTTGTTTTATTTTTGAATAAATAGGCCTAGGTATAGGCTACACTTTCTGTTTGACGTATGTCTGATCATTGCGATGCTTTTTGCATTGCTATCTTCTACACTATCAATAAATCGATATCATTTTGACATACCTGCACATATATGAGCTAAAATAGTATCAAGTCTGTTGTAGTCATCCTCCAAAGATCGTGGCTGGTGGTAGCTGTGGGCTTTTTTGCTCTTCACCAAAAAAGATCTAGGCATTGTGTCTCCTCTGGTTCCTTCCTGCTATGTCCTCAGTCATTAGTGAAGATCAGGCAATCTGTCAGATCCACGGATGCGGCGGCTTTTTTATCTCTGAAAAGATTTGAAGACCATTGGTTGAGCAGCGCGTCTGTATAGAGGATATGGCAGGGTGGGAGCATGCGTAAAGCAGTTCTCTCGTCTGCCAGGTGTTATGAAGACAGGTGCTTTAAAGGAACAACTACCAAGCCTTAGGCCTGTGATTGGTCCGTCCCTCTACGAGAGGACAGACAGGTCCGGGGGGGACCGTGGCTATCAGGATAAGTGATACACTGTTTTATCAATGTGTTACTCAATCCCTAGCTGCAGGGGGAGAGGAAACGCGGAGACGACAACCCAGCCTGTGCCTTCTCCCTCTATAGACTCACGATTTGTGCAGGTATTAAAAACTGGCTGTTAACAAAAAAGTAGTTTACTTCCGAAAACAGCTTGCTTTTTGCTTATTTTGTTAACACAACGTGGATGTCATTGATGGATATTTTTGTGTCTTTAATTAGGCCTAATATATTTTAAACATGAATATGTGTAAATGCTAACACAACTTCTTATATGCAGTATATATGCACATCAGCAAAAATCGAACATAGCCTAAATGTAGGCTACTTTACTTTTTACATTTATTTTCGTTTGCTGCATTCGAAAATGCACACTTTGCTAAAAAAAATAAAAAATGAAGAAATCTTGCTGTTCTAATGAAATGTATTCTTTAGTCTAATTCAATATTTTTTACGTTTTAGTTTCAGGTTATGTGTCAACTTTTTATCGTCATCACGCCCCCTCATGTACAATTCCATTAAAAAATGTCATATGACAATCTAAACGTCATCATAATGACACCAACTCTCCAAAGAAAGTTTGTCCTCTCTTAACAACTTGAAGTTTTTTTCTCCCTTTGTCCAGAATACTTATTGATCTTAGATAGTTAACCCTGTTATGATTTTGTAAAGAAAACTATAAAAAAAAAATGAAACTGACATTTGTAGAAATATCAACATCAAATTTTCTTTCTAATAAACACAATGTCATGTCCTTGAGCGCAAGGCGAAAAATGGCCAAATGAACAATAAAACTTACCGTCAAGCCAGTTTTGAAGGCATAGCATGCCATTAAACATTTGAGATGCTCAATGTAATCATTTCCTGAAGTTTAATTTTTAATGAAATATTTAGTTTAAATAATTATTTACATTTTCAAAATGAAAAATCAACCATTTTGTGGAATGACATTTATATTAAGTCTAGTTAATACCGAAATTAAAATGCTCCTTGAAGTTAAACATCTCAACATGCTGCTCTTGATTTTTAAATTGACTATAGGTTCATTAAGCGGGCTTAAAACTTGTTTTTTGTGGCCTTGGAATAAAGCGCTCCACACGCCAGCGGGGTCACGGTGTTCTCGAGTTTCGTGGCTGCTCAGTGAACAGAGCTGCCTTGTTCAGAGTGGACGCTGCTGATCTGTCGTGGACACAACAGGGACACGCATTCAGCTCGTGCGGCAGACAATCAGTGGGAGCCCATACAGCCAGTCCATCAGTCTGCGTCTCACCTGCCTTTGACTCGTGACAGCCGTCTCCTAAATGAATCGCTTCACTTGCATAGAGCGCAAGGCTACTGTCATATTGAGAAAAAAGCTGTCAAATGGTGTGGGCACATCGTTATGTAGCCCAAGTTAGGCTACTGCTTCAACTTGTCATTTGGACCAGTTTCGATCACTTTTTGACCAGTCTGCATGGATTTATGAAATCTGTCTCGCCCATCAGTAGGCTACACTGATAGCCCACAATCACACAGTCCAGGATCTGCAGAAGAGTGTGCGAAGCCCAGGAAATCAAAGCGCAATGTGCCCTCCGTCGATTAGACATGCCACCGCAGGGCATCCGGTACAGGATACCGATAATGCAAGGACACTATAGGCAATATCTTGACTAATGCTCAAACATTATCTCACTTTTGTTTTGTGCTTCATCACGAAAATCATATATTGGCTATATAGCCTATTTATCCCAAATAACGAAAGCGACAGAACCCTAAAGCTATTTACAGAACACTGTAATAACTGGAAAAAATAACTGAATCTCAGCACCAAATACTTTTGTCGTTCCCAGAATCGCGTCAGTGTAACGATCCATAAAGCAACTGTCAGAATAAAATTAACTCGAGTAGAAAGTAAAAGAAAAAAAAAATCCTGACTGTAGTCTTGTTGCTTTTTTTTCTGAATAAAAATTGTAATATAAGCCTAATGATTAGAATTATATTACACTTCTAAAATACAGAGCATAAAAGTTATAAAGACAGACTAGAGAAAAGATTATTTCTCCGAAGAACCAAAAACGTTATACCAAAATAACGCGATGCTTTTCTCTAATATCCGTTCATGTACGTCCTAACTGACTAAACTAGTGCCATCAACGAAACACCAAACGCTACAAATCAAACCGTTTACATTTGCACTGATTAAACAGTGCTGAGATGAGTCAATGAGTTTTATTAATGTTAAATTCGTAGGTACAGTATGAAACTTCATGCATAACTGGAAACGCGCGAACTGTGATTTTGCTCTCAGCGAAACCCTGATTTAAGAATTATGTTTTATATTTATACCGATCAATCGATTTAAATTTGACAAGGGCTCATTTGCCAACAGGAGTTGGAGCGCTTACCTGATCAACTGTTCGTTGTAAGATGAACGCAGTACGGTCGCGGTGTTTTAGTTTAAACCAAAGAGCGCGCAGCCCATCTCATCTCATGGGTTTTTAAGCTAAGAGCATAAAACAAAAAGCTTCCTGAACGTTATTTGCGACACATCTAAATAGTAATCCGGTATAAGGAGGGCTGTACCTTCAGCAGCTGTTTATTTAAGCGCAATGCTTAAAGCTTGAATGCGTTTTATTTGTCATGTAAGACTGTGTTACATAAAATTGAAACAAATAGCTAAATCTCGCACAATACAGGAAAACAATTCACGTCCAAACATTGGTGCAAGTTTCTTTCTCGATTTCTACATAAACAAATTTGCAAAATTGTGTTGCGTTATTAATGTTATTTGAATATACAGTATATATGTATATATATATAAAAACGACTACATTTTCGATTTATCAAACAACTCATTAAACAATGACTTATTCTTATCTTTTGTAAATTCTGATGCTGCACGGAAAAATGCGAACAAAGCATGACATTCGTAGGCCACCATCAAATGATATTTTATTGTGATCTGAATCAACATATCTGTCATCTTCAAGACACTTATCTTGCATTGTCTACAGTCTGTAAAGCCTCGAATGCCCACAGGAACTTTATTTTTTGTAAGGTTTTAGTTTATATTAAATAATGTTTTTACTTAATTACTTTAAATCACTTTAGTGTTTTGTGCTTTGCAAGTTCGTTTCGCAAAGTCCTATTTTTTGGAGGTGAACTAGCCGTTTTTAAAAGGTGGGCAAATGGTGTACCAACTTTACATCCATCTTGATGGGTTTTAAGGCTTGTTCTCAGGTGCTATTCATCTCCAGCCAAGCATAACAACAGAAACAGCAGACTGATGTGAAATAACTTCATTTCTTTGCAAGTCTTCAAATGAACCATTGGGACATACAAACTCATTGGAGGAGAACAACAATGTAGAGTGAAGCTCAATTGACAAACAGGGAATAGTACTAGTAGTTTCCATTGTTGTGAAGTGATATGCATGTCATCTGTGCAAAAAAGCAAACTGATTCAGAAACTAGTTGGTACATATATGGATATAAAAAAGAAAAAGAGGGGCAGTCTGTGTACATGTATTCTCATTGCCTGTGAGTGCTTGGCTTAAGTAAGGCCAGAAATAATGAGAACATTGTTCCACTAACCGACACACTCCCTGCCTTCGATTCCATCAGTTTGCAGGTATTCATTATTCATAACATACTCCGCATACCACATACTGTAGAAAATATTGTAAATCAGCAAGAATTTCATAGAATGTTTCCAGGCACAAAACAAAAACTCCATTCTGTGAAATGGAGAACTGACTACATCAGAGCTACAGTACATAAAAGTTACCGGACAGCAGTGTGCCAGGAAAAGCTGTTGCCTCCAAAGACCTTCCTAATTCAGTAATACATCCCTTTCAACTTAACTGTACAATACATTACAATATAGACATGACGTCCATTGAATACATATTTTCAAGTAATAATGGAGATGGAAAAACAAATCAAAACATGTACATATTTACATAGATACTGGTTCCTTGACCCACACTTAATGTGTTCAAGACCCAATCGTATAATTCTTGCCAGGAAAACAAGGCTTGCTAACTTACGATATGACACCACTGTATTAATATGGAACAGTTTAATGTGCATTTAAAGATAATAGTGTTCCGTGATACGTTTCCCTCAAAAGTTACGCTTTCTCGTGGTTTGTTAAAAAAGTATGATTTAAAAAATAAAACCTATGACGATGCAAATTCTTAATGCATAAAACACTACGCTATACAAAATCGCTTCTCGTAATGTGAAAAAACGTGGGGTATTAGAAACACCCGCCTTTTAAGGTTTGGGAATCTCTTGCCACAAAACGTTGATTTTGATTACAAGGGTCTCAGAGCCTAAAGAGGCCTATTCGTCCTCTTTTTTTGAGGCTAAAATTAAAAACTAGTGCCAGGACAAACATCTGACGCATTTTGGCAAAAACAAAACAAATGCAGATGTAAACCATGACCTTAAGAAAGATATGACTCCATAAGTCCATTTGTAAAAATGAACGAGGGCTTTTCAAGTTCTCCAGTTCGAGTCCCATGCTCAATGCTCTAGGCAAGATTTAAAAGGACAAGCTTAAAAGTCACACTCTCCTTCCCAGACCTTCGATGGCAGTTTGTGTCACCAATCCAGATGATCACACTGTAGTTGTCTTATGGCTGCCATTTGAGGGCACACTAAGTCGTAGGGCATCTCCTTCCTCATCACCCTCACTTTCCGAGTCCTCCAGGTTTGGATGTAGTGTGATCCGGCCTCTAACCTGATGACTGGTCAGCTGGGGTGACAGCTTCACTCCATCTTCATCAGAGGACTGGTAGGATTCGTTGTCCCCTCCATAGTGATTGACTAAATGAATCCCATCAAAACTGGGTTGGCCACGTAAGCCCCGCTGCCCTCTTAAGCATCGGATCTACGAGCAGAGAAAGTGAGCGTCAGCACAACTGAAACTTTAACACCTCAGCCATTTCATTTGACAATATGCAAATGAAACACTAGGAAACTATTTCTTCACAAAAGATAATGATAGGAAAGGTAACAGTTGCAAAACACACACCAACGCACAATCTCTGAACAGCACCATCCATTTCAACAAACACATTTAATGGGATAAAAGGGTCAAAATGCTTCAAATGTATGCATTAAATGAGTTTTCGAACAAACGACTTGAACTACATAGTCGAACAAAAGAGACAGTTCAGTACAAAAATGAAAATTGTCATTATTTTCTCACCTTCATGTTGTTTTAAATGTGAATGAACTTAAAAGGAGACATTTTGACTAACAACCATCACTGTATGGACCAAAAGAAGAAAAAAAACTTTTTTCAAATCTTCAAATTTACATATGTTGTATTCTACCGAAGAAACAAATGCATAAAGTTTTGGAACGACATGAGGGTGAGTAAATTATGAACACTTCAATTTTGTGTGAACTATTTAAAAAGCTAGTAAATAAGTCAGCAGGTCATCTGTACTTGAGGGATATGAAATCATATAGTATAATACAATGCTCTAAGTCCATCAAATTGAAATTAAGTTCATGCTCAAAAAAGGTAGTAAATGAAATGGCCAACTTTAAGCCAGTAAACAGTCCTTGTGTGAAATGTGGTTTTGAACTGAGAAACGTGCTCTGTGGTATAACACACAGTTGATGGAGTTCTGTATGCTCTTACCTGAAACATTCTGCCACAGAAAGACAGACATGTGGGGAAAGACATATTCATGGGTATTTCAGTTTCACCACAATCAGTAACATTCTGTTTTATGTCCCTTCCACAATGTAGTCATTCCATCTGATATTACTCTAATTCTAAAACAAGCAAGAGTTTTTCAAATGAGAACACTGTGTTCATGTGGTATTCGTATGCAATGCACACTGAAGAGGGCTGATGTGAGGGCTGATGTGTGTGTTGTAGAGGCTACAGAAAGAAAAAAGTGAACAGGCCGGAAGACTGTGTCAAAATGCCAAGTGAGGCCGCAAGTATGACAAGTCATGACTCTGTGATGTTGAGAGATTAGCTCAAGTATGGTTTTGCTTGGTGCAAATGCGGCTGATTGGAAACCTCTCGCTGTTTAGCAACTACGTGATTTAAATAGCAACCAGATACGAGACATCCGTCCTTTTGTTTTAAGGTTATGACTAAGTCGACTTTAGTGTGACTGATCTTTTAAGCACAACTTTACAACTTCAGTCCACAAATCTCTAGTAAACATTTACAGACGAATGATATATATTTTGTAAAGGTGAGCGATGATAATTGATGAAGTTGGCCTTGAAACTAAATTGTTGATTTAGATCAATTATACATCAGATTTTCAAAGTCATTTTAATATTTGATTAAGTCTAACAAAGCAAAAAACACACACACACACACACACACACGTACCATTATTAATTCGCTCTTCACTCAAACTAAACATCCACAAACAACCAAATCAGTCTTGTTTGTAAGGGTTTGTGGCTACAGACAGGATTCATGCTGCTGTTTGATTGTGCACGAAGAGGAACCTGGTAGGCTTTAAGAGGTAAAGCTGTCTTGCTGCAATCTGTTGATAGGGATTGAGATGGCCCGAGAATGAACGATTTAGTAGAAAGTTGTTTGACCACAAACCACCAGCCTTTTGTTGTCAGTATTAGGCAGGAGGAGAAAATCAAACTACATCCTGACCTGCACCCTGTATAAATCAATTAAACGCTTTCAGTTTTCTGTCTAGCTAAAAAACTAAAGCAGGCGACATTTGGCGTATTATGGTGTATTAAACATCACACTAGGGATTTTTAAAACTGGTTGTTCCATAAATACATCAAAGGAAAAAAAACGTCAATTTTGAGGTCATGCCCACTGCACATATTGTGTCAACACATTTCCAAACACAATGCTTACAACTGCTAGTCATGTCAAATTCTAAATAAACATTACACCATCCATATCAACCTGTATTTAAAAAATATTTCTTGTAATTAGAAAATAAAACGATACCTTTTAAACAGTCACGCGACCCCTTTCACGACCCCCATATTGAGAATCATAAGATGAGCAGTTTGGGAAATAGATGGATGGATATTTTTCATGGATTTTTCAGGAAGTTATCTTTGAAAAAATGATAACGGTCTATTTTGATCAATTTATTATACATCAGACTTTCAAGAATGCAAGTCATCTACTCGCAGTATTTCCTCTGTAGCATTTTACCAAGTGGCAAATCTTGAAGTGTGTCACTGCCACAGAAATAGCAAAAATAAACAGAAATCTCACTTCCAGAAGTGGGCAGCAACCAAAAAAAACACATTGGCCACAAAAACTGCACCACCTACAGACAATCAAAAGTTGTCACAAGAGAAGCATGCAACTAAAAGTGATTTCCCGCAAATTAATCAGCCCTGTCGACATCTAAAACCTTCGGATTTGTTAACCTGAACATCACTCCAACGCAGAACTGTGTCCTCAGCCCTCAATTGTAAACATTACCTA